TGATGTGTTAGCTTGACATACTTCCTTTTCCATTACTTAATCCTAAGTTTTAAATCTCGGGACGAGATTTCTTTAAGGGGGAAGGGTTGTAACACCTCTAGTGTTTTAACCTCGCATTAAAACTTGACATGTCATCATATGCATTGCAAAGCATTCATGAAGTAGAAAATTTTGAATGCATTCACTAAATAAGCTTTATTTCATAATGTTGTTATTTCATGTGATGTGTTTCAAAACCCTAAATAAAAATCATGACCACAAGGGTCAAATTTCATGTGATCATGTGAGGCCATGTGTCATTTGACTCAAATAACCCTAATGGGCCATGTTACTGGTCAAAAATCAAAGTTAAAGTAAAAGGAAGACAAATCAAATTTGAATTCGAATTCAAATTATAAAAGTCCTTTTTGTCCCTTTTGACTAATTCAAAATCCATGTGAAATTTGGGGTTGAGGCAAAAAGCAAAGTTGAATATTATTTTATAAGGGTCAACTTTGGTATTCAAAGTTTTTCAAGTTTACATATAAAATTTGGAGTAATTTTGAAATGATTCAAATACTCAAATGCACCCCAAATTCAAATTTCAAAATGGAGGCAGAATTTGAAAATGTTCCTTGAAGCAAGGTTGTAGAGTTTGAAAAATTGAGCAACTTTCCTTTTTGGAGATTTTCAACTTCTTTAGAAAATTTGTGAGTAATTTGCAAAATTGACGCAGTGGCAATTCTGTAAATACTTCAAAATTGAAATTCGGCCGAGCGCCACCTCTCTACTTGCCGCCGACGCCACGTGGATGTCGCCGCCGATCAGATTGCGCCGCTTCCTCGCGCATTGACACGTAGCTGGTGCCGTGGCGGGTCCGTTCGTGCGCTGTCGACGCCGTGCAACCCCTTCCCGGCTATAAATAGCAGCAGCCGCCGCCGCCGTCCCCGTTTTCCCCTTCTGCTCTGCTCCGCCGCCAGCTAGCTCCGCCGCTCGCCGTAGCCATCGTCGAGCCGCGTCCGTCGTGCCCAGCTACGCCAACGAGATCGCCTCGGTCTTGCACTTCTCTGTGGCTTGCTCACGTCGCTTGGGTTGGCCGGAATCGCCCCGCGCAACGTCTTCTTCCCCGAGCCCGACCGGAACTCCGCCACCATCGACTCGACGTGGCCAGGCCGTTCCAGACCGTCTTCGTCTTCACCAAACGCACCAGCATGATCGTGGTGAGCTACTGAACGTGATACTCGCTTTGTTTTAGACTCTACTGCACCATTGCCGGGGTTATGCCGTGCGCCGTCGTGCTCGGGCCGCCATGGCCGGCGTGGAGTCTTCTCCGGTGCGCCTTCTGCCGATCTGAGGGCGGGGATGGGTTCGTAGGAGTGTGTAGATCATTTGGGTGCGGTCTGCCTCGCCGGAGCATCACCGTCGGCGCATTTTGGGCCGGCCAGTGATGGCAGCGCCACCATGACCTGTATGTGTCACTAACGAGTGGGGTCGGGCTGTCAGTGAGAAGGAAGGAGAAGAACAGTGAGGTTTTATTATTTTCTAATTTTGAATAGTGCTGAAACTTTGGGAATTTGTAGGAAATTAATCATAGCTCCAAAAATTCTGAAATTTTGTGTGTAGCTTCTGTACATGCTCTAGTATGGTTTAAAAATTTGAAACTTGAAATTTGAATAAATTTTTAATGTTCAAATATGCAGTCCATTAATTAATAAATGTAATTTCCATAATTTTTGCAGGCCACTGTATAATTCCAAAAATTATGAAATTTGTTTTGGTACACTAATTTGTCATGAGTAAGCTTACATAAAATTTTGAGGTCATTTGGAACAAGATCATGTTTGGGCTTATTTCCAAATTAATTCAAAAATAAATAAAAGCAAACCCTAAGTGTTTGATTAGTGTTTGATCTTGTTTTGATCATGTTTTGTGACCAGTAGGGTTTCAAGATTAGTGGTCGGAGAGTTCACCATAGTGGTCGGAGAATTCGCCACCGCAGTGGTCGGAGAGTTCACCGTAGTTGTCGGAGAATTCGCCGTAGTGGTCGGAGAGTTCACCGTAGTGGTCGGAGAGTTCGCCGAAGTGGTCGGAGAGCTCGCCGAAGTGGTCGGTGCTGACGTGGTCACATCCGTTACGAATATGGCTTGGTTAGTTTTGCTTGTACCTGTGCCGTGAAGGAAAGTTGTATTCAAGGTGTTGTTATATTTCATGCACCATGAAAGCATCATGTTTACATTATCATCATGTTGAAGCATATGTTATTATTTCATGTAGAATCCAAGAGTGAACCGATTCTAGTTGAGCAAGTCCTGGAAGAATCCCCGGTTATCACGGGATTCGATAATTGTGGTACTGATTCGGAACCTGAGATCGTCAACGAAGGCAAGCCTCGTTTTATGCATTAAACCATTACCTTGTTTAATTTGAAAAGTTTATCACCTATGTTACTTATTGCATTAAGTTGATTTATTCAAATGTTACCTACTTGATGCATTGCCTACCTTGTTGATTGTTCACCATCCTTGAAGATGATTTCATTTACAAAGGCATAGAATTGCTTAGTATGCTTTATGGTAGGTTTTCAAAGTAAAAGTTTCGATACAATCAAAGATGGCATACTGGCCAAAGAAAGAAAGAAAGAAGATAGAATGAACTAGAGACTAGTTGGGTGGCTTATCTTGAATGTTGGGTAATGTTGCCGACTATGTCGCTTAAAGGCCACTCATTGTGGATCTTCTGAACGAGACACTTTGTAGTACTGGTCACATACTCCGGTAAGCCTACTTCGGCTAATCCGATACTAAGACGAATGCCCACGCACTGGGAGTGGAGAGATGGCGGGAGTAGCGTGTACCCTCGTGGCTGGAATGTGGCCGGATTGGAGGTGTGCTGTGCTCTTGGGTGGCGTGGAGACGGCTTAGTATGGGAGGATCCGGTAGTGAGGTTGATATATGCAAGATTAAGTTCTACATATGTCGTGTGATAAGGAATCCCTAGCTGGGACTTGAATAAATTCGAATTGCTGGTGCTCCGTGGATATGGAGACTCGATTCATTACAGAAGCACTGCAGGACTGGTGAATTACTAAAACATGAGAAAAAGAATGGAATGAGAAGGATTGGAACATGGGATATGAACACTTAGTTGGAGATAATGAACTAAAGTACTTAGGGGTAAAACTTGAAACTAGGATCAAGAATAGTAAGCTTTTGGCAAAGAACTTTTGAATTTTGCTACATCCTTACCTTGACCCAACACCTGCATCCATAAGACCTTCGCCCTTTTTGGTCGGGTCAGTCTTGTTGAGTACTTTTGTACTCAGGGTTTGTTAACCCTTGTTGCAAGTGAGTCGCATGCGCAGGCTTGTTTTGGTCCCTGCTGCATGTCAGTGTTTGAAGTCGATGACGATGAGGAATGATGAATGGCCTTTGGACAAGGCACTAGTTTGTGTGAAATAAATAATGTTAATGTAATATTATCCCGCTACTATGGTTGTATGACAATTATGGTTTTGTAAGTTTGAAACAACTGGTTTGTAATATCAAAACTTAAGTCTTCCGCTTTATAATCTCTGGTATGTATATTGAAAATTGTTGTAATCTGCAATGACTATGATTGGGATCCTGTTTGGAAAAGATTCATGGATGATTCGGGTTTCCCGAGGACACCCGACAGATCTATTAAGTTGTTGGGAACTTGTGTACGCTATCTAAGGTCTATTGAGACATCGATAGGTGCACGTGGGCCCGATTTCTTAGGAGGTTCTACCACAAGTAGGTGCCTCTCCACTTCATTTTGGTGCAGAGATTGATGGTTCATACAGCGACTACATGGGCACAAAATTTGCTCATCCTCAGTAAACCTCTCTCTGACGAAGTTCATGAAAGACCGGACACCACAAATATACTAAGGCGTAAACAGAGCACCATGAATCCAACGTCTATCCATCTACGTAAAAAATTGCAGAAAATAAATAAATCTTCATTACAACCACTACATCAAGTAACAAATGACATCACTGAATTAAATTGTGCATCCAAATCCATACCAATCGAAGTCAGCTGAGCCAAGATCTGCAGGTGGCCGGCGATGGATCCCGTGCAGGGGAGCCTTGACGGAGCCGCTGCCGCCGCTGGAACCGCTGGCCCTTAGTATCCTCTCCACCGCCGCCGCCACTGCCACCGACTATACCGGCAACACTTCCGTTGCCGCCCCCTACGCCACCGCCAGCCAGGAGCTCCTACGCCGCCGCTAGCAGCTCCTAGGCCGCCGCCAGAAGCTCCTATGATGCTGCGTATGCTGCTGCCAACACCATAGGTCAAAAGGCCGTCGTGGATAGGGTCGGCCGCCGCGGACAGGGTCGTGGAAAGGGGCGGCCGGCGCAGACAAGTGTGGTCTATGGTCAAATGGCTCCTTAATCTCAAAGCACTATAATTTGTTTAAGAAAGGACTAAAGAAAAAATAGATCAGCACTATGCGAAAACAATTCAGTATCCCAGTGGTTAGGTGCCTTCTCTTGCAACCGAGAGGTTCGCGGTTCGATTCCCAGTAGCGGCAAATTTTTTGCACATTTAGCTTCCTCACCGACAGGTAGGTCCCACCTTCCCTGTTTACATCCCTCACCGACAGGTAGGTCCCACCTGCCCAGCGCCAGCCCCCTGCCTCTTAGTCTCTAATCAGCATGACACGTTGGATGTTGGATCTATGACCTCCCACATGAGTCCGTCATAGATGACTACGGAGGTGCCAAAATGATTGGTGACGTCCAACCTTGACAATAATTTAACTAATCATCATATATCTATCACCTTGGATTTGGACCGTCACAGATGACTACATTCTGTGATGATTTGTTGGAAGATCATGGGTAAGCCGTCATGTATAAGGGTATTTCTTGTAGTGTTACAGGTGTTTCACCTGGATCAACAACGGGAGCAGGTGTCTGCACATAAAATTTGAGCAAGAAATCTATCAAGGTATATAGATATATAGAAAATTATGAATAACTAAGGGAGATAGTTTTAGCATACTGATTGATTGTCGTGGGTAATCTGAAGAACTTGTTGCTGAGGTTGTGGACCATGCGTGATATAAAGTGAACTTGGTGGCTGCGTAGATGTGGTTGCTGGAGCTGGAACAGTTTCTGCGGGTTTTCCAGATGCAGCAATGTTCAGTGCAGAGTTTTGCCTATCAGATCTATCTAAAATATGATTGACCAGGTACTGCCTCCTTGCTCTAGTGGTGAATGAGTCTTCAGTGAGGCCAACGGAGAAAGTAAATTTCTTGGAAATAATGGACCGGAGAGGCTGAGGTAGGCCAGATGCTAATTTCAAAGGGTTTATAATTAGATCGTGGTCTTTCTGAACAATTAACTTGGCTATCTCATCATAGGCGAAAAAACTTGCTTCTCCTGTTTCATCCTTCGCGGTGAAATTTAGTAGGTACCTATATATTTCAGATAAACGAAACGTTGTTAATTGCATGGTCTTCAATTACTTAATATACGATGAGGTTGCTGCTGAGGAAGTTTAAATAATTATTGATTACCTGGGCCAAGGTGTTGTGGCATAGCATTTTGGACATTTGTATCCTCCAAGCTGAGGATCCATTTTTTTCTTGCATCCTTTGCAAGACATGTACCACCAGTTATTGTTATCTGCTATGTTTGTGACGGTCACCGTGCATTTATAGCCTTCGTCCTATTATGGGTCACAGAAAGTTGCAGTTAATTATAGGGCATAGAAGTAAAAGGAATTTTCTGAAATAAAATTAGGGAGGATCACTTGGGCTATACCGCAAACTCATATGGATCTATGCTATTTAGCTCAGCAATATTTTTCTGTTGTAGTGGAGTATCATGTGGCTGCATAGGCACTTCTGCTTCAGACAGTGGAGGCCGTTCTATATATATTGGCTGATCCTTAAACCTATATCATTCACACGAAGTAAGTAATGTAAATATGTTTCTTATAATCTGAAGTGAACATTGTTGATTTCAATATATGAAAATGTGTTTCTCTGATGCAGTAGTTACCTGTTGTAAAATGGCAAAGCTTCTTTGATATCAGGGTTTAAATAGTAATGGCAACCACTGCTGGCACTAAGATAAGGTTTGTCTTCAATGTCCCGTGAGTGCCATTTTCTAGGTATGAAACTGACGAAGAGAGCAATAACTGCTTTTGGGTTTTCTTTAGTGTTGAGATGGTCTACAGTGAAGTTCATTGCGTAATCACTCCAGAGGGTTATTTTGAGCTCGTTGTCACTGCGAAGAGAAAGTTCGTTATTATTTATATATCACAGCTAAAAATATAGGCAAAAGGTTTTGATGGGTACTGAAAAACGAATTATAGGTTCCTTGTGTATATACCTCATGTCCTTTATAAAGACTTCCCTAAGGATACTTGCTCTTTCCTTGCCTTTGGGGGTTATGGATGTTACCGAGTTGTATCTTGTAATGTAACCCAGGACATCTGACAACAAAGATGAACGGGATAGTAAAATGCAGACTGCATATGAGTAATAGCAGAAATTCTATAAGCTTACCTGTCCTTCAGAAGGAACTATTTTGTCTAATGCAGTAAGAGTGTACACATACGCTGGAAATGTTTTTGGTGGATTTTCAGCTAACTTTACTGATGTAAACTCGGTAAATTCTAGCATCTAGTGACCATCCAAAGGCTTGTATGTTGCCTTCGCAGGGTTGACTTTGAATTTGCTGATCACATAGATATTGTCGACACATGTAAGAGGATCTACTGCCGGTATTATTTCCTGGGGAATCTCAGCATACATGGCATCTCCCTGTATGTAGATAACAATGGAATTAGAGGAGAAAAGTATTGGAGCTGTGCATTACTGTAATATACATTGGCAGGCACAATTGTGTGATGACTATGTCAATATATTTTTAAAGAACAGTCTACTGAAATGTGTACAACTGTTTGTTAGTGTAAGTGTACATGCACGAATCTTACCTTCGCATCTGCTAAGACCAAACCAATATATAGTGGTGCTCTTTGACGCATGGTCTCTCTTACTGTCCATTTTCTCATGATACGCACGCATACAGAGGCTTTGGGCCGTCCTTTTTGGAGCTTGCCTAAATAGGTGCCCTGCATCCTATAGATCACCAAAGTATGGAAACATTTAGGATAAAATTTAGAAGTACATGGACTCTTCATCACCAGGATGTTTCAAGGCGTATAGTACTTTGCAGAAATCAGGAACATGTAAAGACGCAAGGTTAGGGGAGTAGAGCAATGAGGCAAACATAGGAATTGAATGTAAAGGATTTTAGTATATCGATCAGCACATAACCAATAACTGGACAGAGCAAAACCAAATTTAACAGCCATACGTACGTACAATAATCATGGTAACTATTTTATTTAGCTTGAGGTAGATATGCTGAGGTTTACATGGATTGAAACTAAGCAGCAAAGGCATCTAGGCCCAAACAACAATATACAAGAACTGTTAACAGCAAAATCCTATGTAGTTGCCTCAACTGTCTATGAATCCAAAAGCGCTGTGATCATGTCATCACATGTCAGACTTCAGTCATAACTTAGTGGACTTCACTATGCAGAAGGTAGATATGCCAGCACCTCCCTAGAAACAACATTTCTTGTTTCATTTGTGCAACTACCATGTTCATCTTCTATAAGAATCTTCAGACCATGTTTGGTTGTGACACGTGAGACAGCCACGTATAGCTGGCCATGTGAGAAAACGGGTCTTTTAAGATAAACACCCACAGCCGATAGTGTTTGTCCTTGACTTTTGTTGATTGTCATAGCATAGCACACCTTTATTGGATACTGACGTCTTTGAAGAACAAATGACCACTTGTTACTTTTCAAGGTGAGAGAAATCCGTGGGATGAGAACGCTTTGCCCAGAAAATTTTCCACTAATTATTCTAGCCTCTATGCATGACCATGTCTCCTAAGGAAACTATAACTAATCTTGTGCCATTGCAGAGTCCATTAGATTGGTTGAGATTACGGAGAAGCATCACTGGAACACCCTTTTTGAATATTAACTGGTGCTGAGGAAAGTTGTTTCCATTGAGTGAGTTTAAAAACTCAACTGGATAAAGCAGATCATATGCTTCATGTGGTCCTACAGATTTTGCAATGCTATCTGAGCTAAGGTATTCTTTTTCTATTCCTGGGAGCAAGGAGACAATGTAGTCATTGATCACATCAGTTAGTTCATTTGTTGGTGTTAGTATTGCTCTTTCACTGAGATATGCTGTCTTACAATATTGTGACTCCAAATTTGGGTAAATAGCATTTACTATACAAGAGAGCTTGTCACCGTCTGTTACTAAAAGCAAGTCTTCAGGTATCTTAATCCTTGAAGGTTCGGTTTCACCTTCTTTTGCAACTGAAGGTATTTTGCCTTCTCCAACATCTAGCACCCATTTGCTAAATTCAGCGACCTCTTTCTGGTATTCTGGATCTAATGATGAGCAGGACAAGCGCATATTTTGGCATAAACTGAGCACCTGTACATGTGACCACAGATGTGAATTAATTATGGCAGAGTCGACAATTTCAGATCTACTGCCTCCTTCAACAACAGGGAGTATTTGCCTGAGATCACCACCAAGTACCACTACTTTACCACCAAAGGGGATGTCAGCAGCCTCTGGGTGGTGTGCGGACTGTATGTCACGAAAAGTTCTATCAAGAGCTTCAAAACCTCTTCTATCGGTCATGAGAGCTTCATCCCAAATAACCAAAGCTGTCTCTTCAATAAGTTCAGAAAGCATCGTCCCCCTTCTTATGTCACACACTGATCCATCATCTAAGTCACATGGAATTTTAAATCTAGAGTGAGCAGTGCGGCCACCTGGTAAGAGAAGTGAAGCGACACCCGAAGAAGCAACAGTAAGAACAATTCGTTCCTGTGCTCTAAGGTAGCTAACGATGCGGTTCCATAAATAGGTCTTGCCAGTTCCACCATAACCGGAAACAAAAAAGAATTACGGCTGATTGTTGACAACCTTGTTCACTATGGCGTGAAATGCATGTATCTGATCACTATTTACACCACACCAGATCATTTCTTTCCCTACGGCTAGGACTAGTCCCCTCGGCTGGGAACATCCCGTCAGGAGCGCTCCCTCTTCCCTGGCGTGTGAGCTAAACCGAGGCAGAAAGCTGCCCGCACCGTGAGGAACACTGCATGCGCCGCCGAAAACCAAACTTGCGCGCTCCAGTCCACAGCATGGCCCACGCGTAAGTGAGGTGTGGCAAAAAGAAGGGCGCGAACGCAAGGCGACGGGCGGGCGAGGTAAAAATTTCGCGACCTTATCCTATCACCTCACCTACCCGACTTCTCCCCATCCCCAAATTTCTTTTCTCTCTCTCTCTCTCTCTCGGGAGATGGCGGCGAGCACGGCGCGGCGCAGGCGAGGACGCCGCCGCCACCGCCGCGTGTCCTGGGATCCGGTGAGATGACGTCCTCTCATGGCTTCTGCCTTCCCTTCCTCTCTCTCTCTCTCATGGCTTCTCCCTTTCCTTCCCACTTAGGGTTGCCATCGCCGTCGCATCCCCAAGATCCAAGGAGGTGAACTCTTCCCCGTGGAGATCCACAGCGTGGCGGCGGCGCGGCGCTGCACGAGCCCCTCCTCCCCTCGCAGATCAATGGCGTGGCAGCATCGCACGAGGCCCTAATCCTCCCTGCTCAAGTCCAAGGCATGTTGGCGCTGTAGGAGGTATGTACCCCAGCCATGGATGAGAAACTCAAGGCCTGGCAGATCCACATCTCACCACGAGCCTACGAGATCTGAATGTTTTTAGATTTTTTTAGGTAATTTATTTACCCTTTCTTGAAGGAGAAAAATGTTTTAGATTATTTTAGGCAATTTATTTACCCTTCCATCGAGGTGCTAGAACACTGAACGTGAACAATAGTCACTGAATTTTATTTTGGGCAGCTGCATTTTTCACTCATTTGCTGAACTGACATGCAGTTTATTTGTCCTTACTGAGTTGTGCGGCCCGTGCCTTATTACATACATATAGGATAATAGATTTGTTAACATTTGCGCATGCATTTTTTGTCAATTTACATTGGGCAAGTACTCTGCATTGAAATCTGAGCACTTTTGTTTCTAAAAAATATGCTTGTACACTTTTGTTTTGGAAGATAGTTTTGCTTGGATGAAGTAGCATTGTTGAAATCTCATATGTTGATTCAGCTAAATATTCTGCAATACATGTCAGCTGCTGATAATCTTTACAATTTTATAGAATTGTGCTTCTTTATAATTCCAGCCTTTTTATGTTGTACAAGAATGCACTACTATTATGAAAAAGGAATGTTCTTATGTGCATAAAAGCAAAATTTATAGTCAAAAGGAAGTATTTCGGACCTAGTTACATTCTTTTCTGAAAAATTACAACGTTTTAGTCAGTAGGCAACCATAGTGCTTAGTCAGTAGGCATGCTGACAATGAATTTTAGCATTTCCAGGCAGTGTTGACAGTGCTTGAAGGTAGTGGTGATTTGCAGCAATCATGTGAACTAACTAAGGGTGCGTGTCTGCATACTCTTTGTTCAAGAATATTTTCACTTATCACTACTAGCTGTTTAACTGGTCTATAAAAGAATTGTTTGAAACAAATGTGCAGATGTGGAACACTAACAATTAGTGTTGCCGGGTCCGGATGTGCATTAGCAGGGCAGGTTGGTTGGCAGCTCCTAGATGTGCTACGGCAGCATGGCAGCTTCAGGATGTGGTGCGGCAGCGCAGAGGCTCTGCACTGATAGCGTGTGCTGCAGCAAGGGTGGTGAGCATCACCCTATACCCTCCCATCCCCAGCTCTTCTTGCTTGTATTTGCAAGTTATAGAAACTCATATCGTTCCAACTCAATGTTCTTGGCACTGGTCCTACTAGAAGACAACTAGCTCTCCTCATCTGCTGTAGAAAATGACTTTGCTACCATGAGCTATTTGTGCAGGAAACACTTTTTGGATTATTTGTTTCCATCTTCTTTCATGCCATTTAACATTGACCGAATAATTTCCAAGATTTAGTATGTCCACTTAGAAAAGAATGATTTCCAAAAACATTGACAGTATTATCTATTCACTCACAGAGGACATTACTTGAGATGATCGATTTCCAAGATTTAGTCTGTTTGCAATTATAAACGTCCAAGAAGCATCCATCATGTTGATACAAATTTTTTGCAGGCCATTGCTGACAATAAAAAACAAATAGAGACACTGCCTGTCATGCTTAAGGAAGAAGAAAGTAAACATGGTAAGATTACCGGCTCACATTATTTTTGCTCTTAGTTGACCTGTTTAGGATCTGACGCTTATGCAAACACAAGATCTGACTGTAGTGTTATCCAAAAAACAGATTTGACTGTTCTATGATTCATATAGATTTTCTGTCCTTGCATCACTAGTGGAATAATATACTCAAGGGCAGTCCTGAATCTAATTGATAATAAAGCATACACAAAGCTAGTGAGTTTCATTCACTTGCCATCTTCCCTGCTTCTATCTGTCCCAGGTCTTCCCCTACCTCTGTAACACAATGGTGAGATCCCTGACTGCGTTGGCTCTTACTGTATGGTACAAAATTATTTTTGGTCTGGTGCAACTATTGTTATTTACATGCATTGGACCGAGGTGCTAGATACATGTTTTATTAGGACTGTTCTAGTGTTTCAGACAACACTACAAGACTGTTTTAGCATTTCAAACTACACTGCACAAAGTGCACGTAAGCTTTAGTGTTTTAGTGCTCTATTTGTATCTGAACTGCAATTAGAAGATTCTACTTACACTTGCTGTGAGTATAATCTCATGGCTACATCCATGACATATGATGATCTCATGAATGGTTCTATATATCTTGTTTTGATTGTAGAGAGGGACCGGACATGTGCAGTAGCTGCTGCATTGCCATCACAGGGCCTGTTAGGATAGTTACTTGACTTCTATTTCTTACATATGTAGCACTGCAGCTTCACTCTTCTGAGTTTATTTTGCAAGAC